GGGATGTGAATGGGCAGAAGCGGCTTCTATCCGCTGCTGCCTTTGGCAGCCTTCTGCAGGTGAGCCAGGATGGTAGATCTCGAGTACGATCAGATGGAGTGGGTGATGTGCTGATGGGGGAGGCGGTGCGAGGGTGCATGCAGGCTGCAGCGCATGAGGGGGATGTGAATGGGCAGAAGCGGCTTCTATCCGCTGCTGCCTTTGCAGAGCCTTCTGCAGGTGAGCCAGGATGGTAGATCTCGAGTACGATCAGATGGAGTGGGTGATGTGCTGATGGGGGAGGCGGTGCGAGGGTGCATGCAGGCTGCAGCGCATGAGGGGGATGTGAATGGGCAGAAGCGGCTTCTATCCGCTGCTGCCTTTGGCAGAGCCTTCTGCAGGTGAGCCAGGATGGTAGATCTCGAGTACGATCAGATGGAGTGGGTGATGTGCTGATGGGGGAGGCGGTGCGAGGGTGCATGCAGGCTGCAGCGCATGAGGGGGATGTGAATGGGCAGAAGCGGCTTCTATCCGCTGCTGCCTTTGGCAGAGCCTTCTGCAGGTGAGCCAGGATGGTAGATCTCGAGTACGATCAGATGGAGTGGGTGATGTGCTGATGGGGGAGGCGGTGCGAGGGTGCATGCAGGCTGCAGCGCATGAGGGGGATGTGAATGGGCAGAAGCGGCTTCTATCCGCTGCTGCCTTTGGCAGAGCCTTCTGCAGGTGAGCCAGGATGGTAGATCTCGAGTACGATCAGATGGAGTGGGTGATGTGCTGATGGGGGAGGCGGTGCGAGGGTGCATGCAGGCTGCAGCGCATGAGGGGGATGTGAATGGGCAGAAGCGGCTTCTATCCGCTGCTGCCTTTGGCAGAGCCTTCTGCAGGTGAGCCAGGATGGTAGATCTCGAGTACGATCAGATGGAGTTGGTGATGTGTTTTGGGGATGGGGTGAGGCGGTGCGAGGGTGCATGCAGGCTGCAGCGCATGAGGGGGATGTGAATGGGCAGAAGCGGCTTCTATCCGCTGCTGCCTTTGGCAGAGCCTTCTGCAGGTGAGCCAGGATGGTAGATCTCGAGTACGATCAGATGGAGTGGGTGATGTGCTGATGGGGGAGGCGGTGCGAGGGTGCATGCAGGCTGCAGCGCATGAGGGGATGTGAATGGGCAGAAGCGGCTTCTATCCGCTGCTGCCTTTGGCAGAGCCTTCTGCAGGTGAGCCAGGATGGTAGATCTCGAGTACGATCAGATGGAGTGGGTGATGTGCTGATGGGGGAGGCGGTGCGAGGGTGCATGCAGGCTGCAGCGCATGAGGGGGATGTGAATGGGCAGAAGCGGCTTCTATCCGCTGCTGCCTTTGGCAGAGCCTTCTGCAGGTGAGCCAGGATGGTAGATCTCGAGTACGATCAGATGGAGTGGGTGATGTGCTGATGGGGGAGGCGGTGCGAGGGTGCATGCAGGCTGCAGCGCATGAGGGGGATGTGAATGGGCAGAAGCGGCTTCTATCCGCTGCTGCCTTTGGCAGAGCCTTCTGCAGGTGAGCCAGGATGGTAGATCTCGAGTACGATCAGATGGAGTGGGTGATGTGCTGATGGGGGAGGCGGTGCGAGGGTGCATGCAGGCTGCAGCGCATGAGGGGGATGTGAATGGGCAGAAGCGGCTTCTATCCGCTGCTGCCTTTGGCAGAGCCTTCTGCAGGTGAGCCAGGATGGTAGATCTCGAGTACGATCAGATGGAGTGGGTGATGTGCTGATGGGGAGGCGGTGCGAGGGTGCATGCAGGCTGCAGCGCATGAGGGGGATGTGAATGGGCAGAAGCGGCTTCTATCCGCTGCTGCCTTTGGCAGAGCCTTCTGCAGGTGAGCCAGGATGGTAGATCTCGAGTACGATCAGATGGAGTGGGTGATGTGCTGATGGGGGAGGCGGTGCGAGGGTGCATGCAGGCTGCAGCGCATGAGGGGGATGTGAATGGGCAGAAGCGGCTTCTATCCGCTGCTGCCTTTGGCAGAGCCTTCTGCAGGTGAGCCAGGATGGTAGATCTCGAGTACGATCAGATGGAGTGGGTGATGTGCTGATGGGGGAGGCGGTGCGAGGGTGCATGCAGGCTGCAGCGCATGAGGGGGATGTGAATGGGCAGAAGCGGCTTCTATCCGCTGCTGCCTTTGGCAGAGCCTTCTGCAGGTGAGCCAGGATGGTAGATCTCGAGTACGATCAGATGGAGTGGGTGATGTGCTGATGGGGGAGGCGGTGCGAGGGTGCATGCAGGCTGCAGCGCATGAGGGGGATGTGAATGGGCAGAAGCGGCTTCTATCCGCTGCTGCCTTTGGCAGAGCCTTCTGCAGGTGAGCCAGGATGGTAGATCTCGAGTACGATCAGATGGAGTGGGTGATGTGCTGATGGGGGAGGCGGTGCGAGGGTGCATGCAGGCTGCAGCGCATGAGGGGGATGTGAATGGGCAGAAGCGGCTTCTATCCGCTGCTGCCTTTGGCAGAGCCTTCTGCAGGTGAGCCAGGATGGTAGATCTCGAGTACGATCAGATGGAGTGGGTGATGTGCTGATGGGGGAGGCGGTGCGAGGGTGCATGCAGGCTGCAGCGCATGAGGGGGATGTGAATGGGCAGAAGCGGCTTCTATCCGCTGCTGCCTTTGGCAGAGCCTTCTGCAGGTGAGCCAGGATGGTAGATCTCGAGTACGATCAGATGGAGTGGGTGATGTGCTGATGGGGGAGGCGGTGCGAGGGTGCATGCAGGCTGCAGCGCATGAGGGGGATGTGAATGGGCAGAAGCGGCTTCTATCCGCTGCTGCCTTTGGCAGAGCCTTCTGCAGGTGAGCCAGGATGGTAGATCTCGAGTACGATCAGATGGAGTGGGTGATGTGCTGATGGGGGAGGCGGTGCGAGGGTGCATGCAGGCTGCAGCGCATGAGGGGGATGTGAATGGGCAGAAGCGGCTTCTATCCGCTGCTGCCTTTGGCAGAGCCTTCTGCAGGTGAGCCAGGATGGTAGATCTCGAGTACGATCAGATGGAGTGGGTGATGTGCTGATGGGGGAGGCGGTGCGAGGGTGCATGCAGGCTGCAGCGCATGAGGGGGATGTGAATGGGCAGAAGCGGCTTCTATCCGCTGCTGCCTTTGGCAGAGCCTTCTGCAGGTGAGCCAGGATGGTAGATCTCGAGTACGATCAGATGGAGTGGGTGATGTGCTGATGGGGGAGGCGGTGCGAGGGTGCATGCAGGCTGCAGCGCATGAGGGGGATGTGAATGGGCAGAAGCGGCTTCTATCCGCTGCTGCCTTTGGCAGAGCCTTCTGCAGGTGAGCCAGGATGGTAGATCTCGAGTACGATCAGATGGAGTGGGTGATGTGCTGATGGGGGAGGCGGTGCGAGGGTGCATGCAGGCTGCAGCGCATGAGGGGGATGTGAATGGGCAGAAGCGGCTTCTATCCGCTGCTGCCTTTGGCAGAGCCTTCTGCAGGTGAGCCAGGATGGTAGATCTCGAGTACGATCAGATGGAGTGGGTGATGTGCTGATGGGGGAGGCGGTGCGAGGGTGCATGCAGGCTGCAGCGCATGAGGGGGATGTGAATGGGCAGAAGCGGCTTCTATCCGCTGCTGCCTTTGGCAGAGCCTTCTGCAGGTGAGCCAGGATGGTAGATCTCGAGTACGATCAGATGGAGTGGGTGATGTGCTGATGGGGGAGGCGGTGCGAGGGTGCATGCAGGCTGCAGCGCATGAGGGGGATGTGAATGGGCAGAAGCGGCTTCTATCCGCTGCTGCCTTTGGCAGAGCCTTCTGCAGGTGAGCCAGGATGGTAGATCTCGAGTACGATCAGATGGAGTGGGTGATGTGCTGATGGGGGAGGCGGTGCGAGGGTGCATGCAGGCTGCAGCGCATGAGGGGGATGTGAATGGGCAGAAGCGGCTTCTATCCGCTGCTGCCTTTGGCAGAGCCTTCTGCAGGTGAGCCAGGATGGTAGATCTCGAGTACGATCAGATGGAGTGGGTGATGTGCTGATGGGGGAGGCGGTGCGAGGGTGCATGCAGGCTGCAGCGCATGAGGGGGATGTGAATGGGCAGAAGCGGCTTCTATCCGCTGCTGCCTTTGGCAGAGCCTTCTGCAGGTGAGCCAGGATGGTAGATCTCGAGTACGATCAGATGGAGTGGGTGATGTGCTGATGGGGGAGGCGGTGCGAGGGTGCATGCAGGCTGCAGCGCATGAGGGGGATGTGAATGGGCAGAAGCGGCTTCTATCCGCTGCTGCCTTTGGCAGAGCCTTCTGCAGGTGAGCCAGGATGGTAGATCTCGAGTACGATCAGATGGAGTGGGTGATGTGCTGATGGGGGAGGCGGTGCGAGGGTGCATGCAGGCTGCAGCGCATGAGGGGGATGTGAATGGGCAGAAGCGGCTTCTATCCGCTGCTGCCTTTGGCAGAGCCTTCTGCAGGTGAGCCAGGATGGTAGATCTCGAGTACGATCAGATGGAGTGGGTGATGTGCTGATGGGGGAGGCGGTGCGAGGGTGCATGCAGGCTGCAGCGCATGAGGGGGATGTGAATGGGCAGAAGCGGCTTCTATCCGCTGCTGCCTTTGGCAGAGCCTTCTGCAGGTGAGCCAGGATGGTAGATCTCGAGTACGATCAGATGGAGTGGGTGATGTGCTGATGGGGGAGGCGGTGCGAGGGTGCATGCAGGCTGCAGCGCATGAGGGGGATGTGAATGGGCAGAAGCGGCTTCTATCCGCTGCTGCCTTTGGCAGAGCCTTCTGCAGGTGAGCCAGGATGGTAGATCTCGAGTACGATCAGATGGAGTGGGTGATGTGCTGATGGGGGAGGCGGTGCGAGGGTGCATGCAGGCTGCAGCGCATGAGGGGGATGTGAATGGGCAGAAGCGGCTTCTATCCGCTGCTGCCTTTGGCAGAGCCTTCTGCAGGTGAGCCAGGATGGTAGATCTCGAGTACGATCAGATGGAGTGGGTGATGTGCTGATGGGGGAGGCGGTGCGAGGGTGCATGCAGGCTGCAGCGCATGAGGGGGATGTGAATGGGCAGAAGCGGCTTCTATCCGCTGCTGCCTTTGGCAGAGCCTTCTGCAGGTGAGCCAGGATGGTAGATCTCGAGTACGATCAGATGGAGTGGGTGATGTGCTGATGGGGGAGGCGGTGCGAGGGTGCATGCAGGCTGCAGCGCATGAGGGGGATGTGAATGGGCAGAAGCGGCTTCTATCCGCTGCTGCCTTTGGCAGAGCCTTCTGCAGGTGAGCCAGGATGGTAGATCTCGAGTACGATCAGATGGAGTGGGTGATGTGCTGATGGGGGAGGCGGTGCGAGGGTGCATGCAGGCTGCAGCGCATGAGGGGGATGTGAATGGGCAGAAGCGGCTTCTATCCGCTGCTGCCTTTGGCAGAGCCTTCTGCAGGTGAGCCAGGATGGTAGATCTCGAGTACGATCAGATGGAGTGGGTGATGTGCTGATGGGGGAGGCGGTGCGAGGGTGCATGCAGGCTGCAGCGCATGAGGGGGATGTGAATGGGCAGAAGCGGCTTCTATCCGCTGCTGCCTTTGGCAGAGCCTTCTGCAGGTGAGCCAGGATGGTAGATCTCGAGTACGATCAGATGGAGTGGGTGATGTGCTGATGGGGGAGGCGGTGCGAGGGTGCATGCAGGCTGCAGCGCATGAGGGGGATGTGAATGGGCAGAAGCGGCTTCTATCCGCTGCTGCCTTTGGCAGAGCCTTCTGCAGGTGAGCCAGGATGGTAGATCTCGAGTACGATCAGATGGAGTGGGTGATGTGCTGATGGGGGAGGCGGTGCGAGGGTGCATGCAGGCTGCAGCGCATGAGGGGGATGTGAATGGGCAGAAGCGGCTTCTATCCGCTGCTGCCTTTGGCAGAGCCTTCTGCAGGTGAGCCAGGATGGTAGATCTCGAGTACGATCAGATGGAGTGGGTGATGTGCTGATGGGGGAGGCGGTGCGAGGGTGCATGCAGGCTGCAGCGCATGAGGGGGATGTGAATGGGCAGAAGCGGCTTCTATCCGCTGCTGCCTTTGGCAGAGCCTTCTGCAGGTGAGCCAGGATGGTAGATCTCGAGTACGATCAGATGGAGTGGGTGATGTGCTGATGGGGGAGGCGGTGCGAGGGTGCATGCAGGCTGCAGCGCATGAGGGGGATGTGAATGGGCAGAAGCGGCTTCTATCCGCTGCTGCCTTTGGCAGAGCCTTCTGCAGGTGAGCCAGGATGGTAGATCTCGAGTACGATCAGATGGAGTGGGTGATGTGCTGATGGGGGAGGCGGTGCGAGGGTGCATGCAGGCTGCAGCGCATGAGGGGGATGTGAATGGGCAGAAGCGGCTTCTATCCGCTGCTGCCTTTGGCAGAGCCTTCTGCAGGTGAGCCAGGATGGTAGATCTCGAGTACGATCAGATGGAGTGGGTGATGTGCTGATGGGGGAGGCGGTGCGAGGGTGCATGCAGGCTGCAGCGCATGAGGGGGATGTGAATGGGCAGAAGCGGCTTCTATCCGCTGCTGCCTTTGGCAGAGCCTTCTGCAGGTGAGCCAGGATGGTAGATCTCGAGTACGATCAGATGGAGTGGGTGATGTGCTGATGGGGGAGGCGGTGCGAGGGTGCATGCAGGCTGCAGCGCATGAGGGGGATGTGAATGGGCAGAAGCGGCTTCTATCCGCTGCTGCCTTTGGCAGAGCCTTCTGCAGGTGAGCCAGGATGGTAGATCTCGAGTACGATCAGATGGAGTGGGTGATGTGCTGATGGGGGAGGCGGTGCGAGGGTGCATGCAGGCTGCAGCGCATGAGGGGGATGTGAATGGGCAGAAGCGGCTTCTATCCGCTGCTGCCTTTGGCAGAGCCTTCTGCAGGTGAGCCAGGATGGTAGATCTCGAGTACGATCAGATGGAGTGGGTGATGTGCTGATGGGGGAGGCGGTGCGAGGGTGCATGCAGGCTGCAGCGCATGAGGGGGATGTGAATGGGCAGAAGCGGCTTCTATCCGCTGCTGCCTTTGGCAGAGCCTTCTGCAGGTGAGCCAGGATGGTAGATCTCGAGTACGATCAGATGGAGTGGGTGATGTGCTGATGGGGGAGGCGGTGCGAGGGTGCATGCAGGCTGCAGCGCATGAGGGGGATGTGAATGGGCAGAAGCGGCTTCTATCCGCTGCTGCCTTTGGCAGAGCCTTCTGCAGGTGAGCCAGGATGGTAGATCTCGAGTACGATCAGATGGAGTGGGTGATGTGCTGATGGGGGAGGCGGTGCGAGGGTGCATGCAGGCTGCAGCGCATGAGGGGGATGTGAATGGGCAGAAGCGGCTTCTATCCGCTGCTGCCTTTGGCAGAGCCTTCTGCAGGTGAGCCAGGATGGTAGATCTCGAGTACGATCAGATGGAGTGGGTGATGTGCTGATGGGGGAGGCGGTGCGAGGGTGCATGCAGGCTGCAGCGCATGAGGGGGATGTGAATGGGCAGAAGCGGCTTCTATCCGCTGCTGCCTTTGGCAGAGCCTTCTGCAGGTGAGCCAGGATGGTAGATCTCGAGTACGATCAGATGGAGTGGGTGATGTGCTGATGGGGGAGGCGGTGCGAGGGTGCATGCAGGCTGCAGCGCATGAGGGGGATGTGAATGGGCAGAAGCGGCTTCTATCCGCTGCTGCCTTTGGCAGAGCCTTCTGCAGGTGAGCCAGGATGGTAGATCTCGAGTACGATCAGATGGAGTGGGTGATGTGCTGATGGGGGAGGCGGTGCGAGGGTGCATGCAGGCTGCAGCGCATGAGGGGGATGTGAATGGGCAGAAGCGGCTTCTATCCGCTGCTGCCTTTGGCAGAGCCTTCTGCAGGTGAGCCAGGATGGTAGATCTCGAGTACGATCAGATGGAGTGGGTGATGTGCTGATGGGGGAGGCGGTGCGAGGGTGCATGCAGGCTGCAGCGCATGAGGGGGATGTGAATGGGCAGAAGCGGCTTCTATCCGCTGCTGCCTTTGGCAGAGCCTTCTGCAGGTGAGCCAGGATGGTAGATCTCGAGTACGATCAGATGGAGTGGGTGATGTGCTGATGGGGGAGGCGGTGCGAGGGTGCATGCAGGCTGCAGCGCATGAGGGGGATGTGAATGGGCAGAAGCGGCTTCTATCCGCTGCTGCCTTTGGCAGAGCCTTCTGCAGGTGAGCCAGGATGGTAGATCTCGAGTACGATCAGATGGAGTGGGTGATGTGCTGATGGGGGAGGCGGTGCGAGGGTGCATGCAGGCTGCAGCGCATGAGGGGGATGTGAATGGGCAGAAGCGGCTTCTATCCGCTGCTGCCTTTGGCAGAGCCTTCTGCAGGTGAGCCAGGATGGTAGATCTCGAGTACGATCAGATGGAGTGGGTGATGTGCTGATGGGGGAGGCGGTGCGAGGGTGCATGCAGGCTGCAGCGCATGAGGGGGATGTGAATGGGCAGAAGCGGCTTCTATCCGCTGCTGCCTTTGGCAGAGCCTTCTGCAGGTGAGCCAGGATGGTAGATCTCGAGTACGATCAGATGGAGTGGGTGATGTGCTGATGGGGGAGGCGGTGCGAGGGTGCATGCAGGCTGCAGCGCATGAGGGGGATGTGAATGGGCAGAAGCGGCTTCTATCCGCTGCTGCCTTTGGCAGAGCCTTCTGCAGGTGAGCCAGGATGGTAGATCTCGAGTACGATCAGATGGAGTGGGTGATGTGCTGATGGGGGAGGCGGTGCGAGGGTGCATGCAGGCTGCAGCGCATGAGGGGGATGTGAATGGGCAGAAGCGGCTTCTATCCGCTGCTGCCTTTGGCAGAGCCTTCTGCAGGTGAGCCAGGATGGTAGATCTCGAGTACGATCAGATGGAGTGGGTGATGTGCTGATGGGGGAGGCGGTGCGAGGGTGCATGCAGGCTGCAGCGCATGAGGGGGATGTGAATGGGCAGAAGCGGCTTCTATCCGCTGCTGCCTTTGGCAGAGCCTTCTGCAGGTGAGCCAGGATGGTAGATCTCGAGTACGATCAGATGGAGTGGGTGATGTGCTGATGGGGGAGGCGGTGCGAGGGTGCATGCAGGCTGCAGCGCATGAGGGGGATGTGAATGGGCAGAAGCGGCTTCTATCCGCTGCTGCCTTTGGCAGAGCCTTCTGCAGGTGAGCCAGGATGGTAGATCTCGAGTACGATCAGATGGAGTGGGTGATGTGCTGATGGGGGAGGCGGTGCGAGGGTGCATGCAGGCTGCAGCGCATGAGGGGGATGTGAATGGGCAGAAGCGGCTTCTATCCGCTGCTGCCTTTGGCAGAGCCTTCTGCAGGTGAGCCAGGATGGTAGATCTCGAGTACGATCAGATGGAGTGGGTGATGTGCTGATGGGGGAGGCGGTGCGAGGGTGCATGCAGGCTGCAGCGCATGAGGGGGATGTGAATGGGCAGAAGCGGCTTCTATCCGCTGCTGCCTTTGGCAGAGCCTTCTGCAGGTGAGCCAGGATGGTAGATCTCGAGTACGATCAGATGGAGTGGGTGATGTGCTGATGGGGGAGGCGGTGCGAGGGTGCATGCAGGCTGCAGCGCATGAGGGGGATGTGAATGGGCAGAAGCGGCTTCTATCCGCTGCTGCCTTTGGCAGAGCCTTCTGCAGGTGAGCCAGGATGGTAGATCTCGAGTACGATCAGATGGAGTGGGTGATGTGCTGATGGGGGAGGCGGTGCGAGGGTGCATGCAGGCTGCAGCGCATGAGGGGGATGTGAATGGGCAGAAGCGGCTTCTATCCGCTGCTGCCTTTGGCAGAGCCTTCTGCAGGTGAGCCAGGATGGTAGATCTCGAGTACGATCAGATGGAGTGGGTGATGTGCTGATGGGGGAGGCGGTGCGAGGGTGCATGCAGGCTGCAGCGCATGAGGGGGATGTGAATGGGCAGAAGCGGCTTCTATCCGCTGCTGCCTTTGGCAGAGCCTTCTGCAGGTGAGCCAGGATGGTAGATCTCGAGTACGATCAGATGGAGTGGGTGATGTGCTGATGGGGGAGGCGGTGCGAGGGTGCATGCAGGCTGCAGCGCATGAGGGGGATGTGAATGGGCAGAAGCGGCTTCTATCCGCTGCTGCCTTTGGCAGAGCCTTCTGCAGGTGAGCCAGGATGGTAGATCTCGAGTACGATCAGATGGAGTGGGTGATGTGCTGATGGGGGAGGCGGTGCGAGGGTGCATGCAGGCTGCAGCGCATGAGGGGGATGTGAATGGGCAGAAGCGGCTTCTATCCGCTGCTGCCTTTGGCAGAGCCTTCTGCAGGTGAGCCAGGATGGTAGATCTCGAGTACGATCAGATGGAGTGGGTGATGTGCTGATGGGGGAGGCGGTGCGAGGGTGCATGCAGGCTGCAGCGCATGAGGGGGATGTGAATGGGCAGAAGCGGCTTCTATCCGCTGCTGCCTTTGGCAGAGCCTTCTGCAGGTGAGCCAGGATGGTAGATCTCGAGTACGATCAGATGGAGTGGGTGATGTGCTGATGGGGGAGGCGGTGCGAGGGTGCATGCAGGCTGCAGCGCATGAGGGGGATGTGAATGGGCAGAAGCGGCTTCTATCCGCTGCTGCCTTTGGCAGAGCCTTCTGCAGGTGAGCCAGGATGGTAGATCTCGAGTACGATCAGATGGAGTGGGTGATGTGCTGATGGGGGAGGCGGTGCGAGGGTGCATGCAGGCTGCAGCGCATGAGGGGGATGTGAATGGGCAGAAGCGGCTTCTATCCGCTGCTGCCTTTGGCAGAGCCTTCTGCAGGTGAGCCAGGATGGTAGATCTCGAGTACGATCAGATGGAGTGGGTGATGTGCTGATGGGGGAGGCGGTGCGAGGGTGCATGCAGGCTGCAGCGCATGAGGGGGATGTGAATGGGCAGAAGCGGCTTCTATCCGCTGCTGCCTTTGGCAGAGCCTTCTGCAGGTGAGCCAGGATGGTAGATCTCGAGTACGATCAGATGGAGTGGGTGATGTGCTGATGGGGGAGGCGGTGCGAGGGTGCATGCAGGCTGCAGCGCATGAGGGGGATGTGAATGGGCAGAAGCGGCTTCTATCCGCTGCTGCCTTTGGCAGAGCCTTCTGCAGGTGAGCCAGGATGGTAGATCTCGAGTACGATCAGATGGAGTGGGTGATGTGCTGATGGGGGAGGCGGTGCGAGGGTGCATGCAGGCTGCAGCGCATGAGGGGGATGTGAATGGGCAGAAGCGGCTTCTATCCGCTGCTGCCTTTGGCAGAGCCTTCTGCAGGTGAGCCAGGATGGTAGATCTCGAGTACGATCAGATGGAGTGGGTGATGTGCTGATGGGGGAGGCGGTGCGAGGGTGCATGCAGGCTGCAGCGCATGAGGGGGATGTGAATGGGCAGAAGCGGCTTCTATCCGCTGCTGCCTTTGGCAGAGCCTTCTGCAGGTGAGCCAGGATGGTAGATCTCGAGTACGATCAGATGGAGTGGGTGATGTGCTGATGGGGGAGGCGGTGCGAGGGTGCATGCAGGCTGCAGCGCATGAGGGGGATGTGAATGGGCAGAAGCGGCTTCTATCCGCTGCTGCCTTTGGCAGAGCCTTCTGCAGGTGAGCCAGGATGGTAGATCTCGAGTACGATCAGATGGAGTGGGTGATGTGCTGATGGGGGAGGCGGTGCGAGGGTGCATGCAGGCTGCAGCGCATGAGGGGGATGTGAATGGGCAGAAGCGGCTTCTATCCGCTGCTGCCTTTGGCAGAGCCTTCTGCAGGTGAGCCAGGATGGTAGATCTCGAGTACGATCAGATGGAGTGGGTGATGTGCTGATGGGGGAGGCGGTGCGAGGGTGCATGCAGGCTGCAGCGCATGAGGGGGATGTGAATGGGCAGAAGCGGCTTCTATCCGCTGCTGCCTTTGGCAGAGCCTTCTGCAGGTGAGCCAGGATGGTAGATCTCGAGTACGATCAGATGGAGTGGGTGATGTGCTGATGGGGGAGGCGGTGCGAGGGTGCATGCAGGCTGCAGCGCATGAGGGGGATGTGAATGGGCAGAAGCGGCTTCTATCCGCTGCTGCCTTTGGCAGAGCCTTCTGCAGGTGAGCCAGGATGGTAGATCTCGAGTACGATCAGATGGAGTGGGTGATGTGCTGATGGGGGAGGCGGTGCGAGGGTGCATGCAGGCTGCAGCGCATGAGGGGGATGTGAATGGGCAGAAGCGGCTTCTATCCGCTGCTGCCTTTGGCAGAGCCTTCTGCAGGTGAGCCAGGATGGTAGATCTCGAGTACGATCAGATGGAGTGGGTGATGTGCTGATGGGGGAGGCGGTGCGAGGGTGCATGCAGGCTGCAGCGCATGAGGGGGATGTGAATGGGCAGAAGCGGCTTCTATCCGCTGCTGCCTTTGGCAGAGCCTTCTGCAGGTGAGCCAGGATGGTAGATCTCGAGTACGATCAGATGGAGTGGGTGATGTGCTGATGGGGGAGGCGGTGCGAGGGTGCATGCAGGCTGCAGCGCATGAGGGGGATGTGAATGGGCAGAAGCGGCTTCTATCCGCTGCTGCCTTTGGCAGAGCCTTCTGCAGGTGAGCCAGGATGGTAGATCTCGAGTACGATCAGATGGAGTGGGTGATGTGCTGATGGGGGAGGCGGTGCGAGGGTGCATGCAGGCTGCAGCGCATGAGGGGGATGTGAATGGGCAGAAGCGGCTTCTATCCGCTGCTGCCTTTGGCAGAGCCTTCTGCAGGTGAGCCAGGATGGTAGATCTCGAGTACGATCAGATGGAGTGGGTGATGTGCTGATGGGGGAGGCGGTGCGAGGGTGCATGCAGGCTGCAGCGCATGAGGGGGATGTGAATGGGCAGAAGCGGCTTCTATCCGCTGCTGCCTTTGGCAGAGCCTTCTGCAGGTGAGCCAGGATGGTAGATCTCGAGTACGATCAGATGGAGTGGGTGATGTGCTGATGGGGGAGGCGGTGCGAGGGTGCATGCAGGCTGCAGCGCATGAGGGGGATGTGAATGGGCAGAAGCGGCTTCTATCCGCTGCTGCCTTTGGCAGAGCCTTCTGCAGGTGAGCCAGGATGGTAGATCTCGAGTACGATCAGATGGAGTGGGTGATGTGCTGATGGGGGAGGCGGTGCGAGGGTGCATGCAGGCTGCAGCGCATGAGGGGGATGTGAATGGGCAGAAGCGGCTTCTATCCGCTGCTGCCTTTGGCAGAGCCTTCTGCAGGTGAGCCAGGATGGTAGATCTCGAGTACGATCAGATGGAGTGGGTGATGTGCTGATGGGGGAGGCGGTGCGAGGGTGCATGCAGGCTGCAGCGCATGAGGGGGATGTGAATGGGCAGAAGCGGCTTCTATCCGCTGCTGCCTTTGGCAGAGCCTTCTGCAGGTGAGCCAGGATGGTAGATCTCGAGTACGATCAGATGGAGTGGGTGATGTGCTGATGGGGGAGGCGGTGCGAGGGTGCATGCAGGCTGCAGCGCATGAGGGGGATGTGAATGGGCAGAAGCGGCTTCTATCCGCTGCTGCCTTTGGCAGAGCCTTCTGCAGGTGAGCCAGGATGGTAGATCTCGAGTACGATCAGATGGAGTGGGTGATGTGCTGATGGGGGAGGCGGTGCGAGGGTGCATGCAGGCTGCAGCGCATGAGGGGGATGTGAATGGGCAGAAGCGGCTTCTATCCGCTGCTGCCTTTGGCAGAGCCTTCTGCAGGTGAGCCAGGATGGTAGATCTCGAGTACGATCAGATGGAGTGGGTGATGTGCTGATGGGGGAGGCGGTGCGAGGGTGCATGCAGGCTGCAGCGCATGAGGGGGATGTGAATGGGCAGAAGCGGCTTCTATCCGCTGCTGCCTTTGGCAGAGCCTTCTGCAGGTGAGCCAGGATGGTAGATCTCGAGTACGATCAGATGGAGTGGGTGATGTGCTGATGGGGGAGGCGGTGCGAGGGTGCATGCAGGCTGCAGCGCATGAGGGGGATGTGAATGGGCAGAAGCGGCTTCTATCCGCTGCTGCCTTTGGCAGAGCCTTCTGCAGGTGAGCCAGGATGGTAGATCTCGAGTACGATCAGATGGAGTGGGTGATGTGCTGATGGGGGAGGCGGTGCGAGGGTGCATGCAGGCTGCAGCGCATGAGGGGGATGTGAATGGGCAGAAGCGGCTTCTATCCGCTGCTGCCTTTGGCAGAGCCTTCTGCAGGTGAGCCAGGATGGTAGATCTCGAGTACGATCAGATGGAGTGGGTGATGTGCTGATGGGGGAGGCGGTGCGAGGGTGCATGCAGGCTGCAGCGCATGAGGGGGATGTGAATGGGCAGAAGCGGCTTCTATCCGCTGCTGCCTTTGGCAGAGCCTTCTGCAGGTGAGCCAGGATGGTAGATCTCGAGTACGATCAGATGGAGTGGGTGATGTGCTGATGGGGGAGGCGGTGCGAGGGTGCATGCAGGCTGCAGCGCATGAGGGGGATGTGAATGGGCAGAAGCGGCTTCTATCCGCTGCTGCCTTTGGCAGAGCCTTCTGCAGGTGAGCCAGGATGGTAGATCTCGAGTACGATCAGATGGAGTGGGTGATGTGCTGATGGGGGAGGCGGTGCGAGGGTGCATGCAGGCTGCAGCGCATGAGGGGGATGTGAATGGGCAGAAGCGGCTTCTATCCGCTGCTGCCTTTGGCAGAGCCTTCTGCAGGTGAGCCAGGATGGTAGATCTCGAGTACGATCAGATGGAGTGGGTGATGTGCTGATGGGGGAGGCGGTGCGAGGGTGCATGCAGGCTGCAGCGCATGAGGGGGATGTGAATGGGCAGAAGCGGCTTCTATCCGCTGCTGCCTTTGGCAGAGCCTTCTGCAGGTGAGCCAGGATGGTAGATCTCGAGTACGATCAGATGGAGTGGGTGATGTGCTGATGGGGGAGGCGGTGCGAGGGTGCATGCAGGCTGCAGCGCATGAGGGGGATGTGAATGGGCAGAAGCGGCTTCTATCCGCTGCTGCCTTTGGCAGAGCCTTCTGCAGGTGAGCCAGGATGGTAGATCTCGAGTACGATCAGATGGAGTGGGTGATGTGCTGATGGGGGAGGCGGTGCGAGGGTGCATGCAGGCTGCAGCGCATGAGGGGGATGTGAATGGGCAGAAGCGGCTTCTATCCGCTGCTGCCTTTGGCAGAGCCTTCTGCAGGTGAGCCAGGATGGTAGATCTCGAGTACGATCAGATGGAGTGGGTGATGTGCTGATGGGGGAGGCGGTGCGAGGGTGCATGCAGGCTGCAGCGCATGAGGGGGATGTGAATGGGCAGAAGCGGCTTCTATCCGCTGCTGCCTTTGGCAGAGCCTTCTGCAGGTGAGCCAGGATGGTAGATCTCGAGTACGATCAGATGGAGTGGGTGATGTGCTGATGGGGGAGGCGGTGCGAGGGTGCATGCAGGCTGCAGCGCATGAGGGGGATGTGAATGGGCAGAAGCGGCTTCTATCCGCTGCTGCCTTTGGCAGAGCCTTCTGCAGGTGAGCCAGGATGGTAGATCTCGAGTACGATCAGATGGAGTGGGTGATGTGCTGATGGGGGAGGCGGTGCGAGGGTGCATGCAGGCTGCAGCGCATGAGGGGGATGTGAATGGGCAGAAGCGGCTTCTATCCGCTGCTGCCTTTGGCAGAGCCTTCTGCAGGTGAGCCAGGATGGTAGATCTCGAGTACGATCAGATGGAGTGGGTGATGTGCTGATGGGGGAGGCGGTGCGAGGGTGCATGCAGGCTGCAGCGCATGAGGGGGATGTGAATGGGCAGAAGCGGCTTCTATCCGCTGCTGCCTTTGGCAGAGCCTTCTGCAGGTGAGCCAGGATGGTAGATCTCGAGTACGATCAGATGGAGTGGGTGATGTGCTGATGGGGGAGGCGGTGCGAGGGTGCATGCAGGCTGCAGCGCATGAGGGGGATGTGAATGGGCAGAAGCGGCTTCTATCCGCTGCTGCCTTTGGCAGAGCCTTCTGCAGGTGAGCCAGGATGGTAGATCTCGAGTACGATCAGATGGAGTGGGTGATGTGCTGATGGGGGAGGCGGTGCGAGGGTGCATGCAGGCTGCAGCGCATGAGGGGGATGTGAATGGGCAGAAGCGGCTTCTATCCGCTGCTGCCTTTGGCAGAGCCTTCTGCAGGTGAGCCAGGATGGTAGATCTCGAGTACGATCAGATGGAGTGGGTGATGTGCTGATGGGGGAGGCGGTGCGAGGGTGCATGCAGGCTGCAGCGCATGAGGGGGATGTGAATGGGCAGAAGCGGCTTCTATCCGCTGCTGCCTTTGGCAGAGCCTTCTGCAGGTGAGCCAGGATGGTAGATCTCGAGTACGATCAGATGGAGTGGGTGATGTGCTGATGGGGGAGGCGGTGCGAGGGTGCATGCAGGCTGCAGCGCATGAGGGGGATGTGAATGGGCAGAAGCGGCTTCTATCCGCTGCTGCCTTTGGCAGAGCCTTCTGCAGGTGAGCCAGGATGGTAGATCTCGAGTACGATCAGATGGAGTGGGTGATGTGCTGATGGGGGAGGCGGTGCGAGGGTGCATGCAGGCTGCAGCGCATGAGGGGGATGTGAATGGGCAGAAGCGGCTTCTATCCGCTGCTGCCTTTGGCAGAGCCTTCTGCAGGTGAGCCAGGATGGTAGATCTCGAGTACGATCAGATGGAGTGGGTGATGTGCTGATGGGGGAGGCGGTGCGAGGGTGCATGCAGGCTGCAGCGCATGAGGGGGATGTGAATGGGCAGAAGCGGCTTCTATCCGCTGCTGCCTTTGGCAGAGCCTTCTGCAGGTGAGCCAGGATGGTAGATCTCGAGTACGATCAGATGGAGTGGGTGATGTGCTGATGGGGGAGGCGGTGCGAGGGTGCATGCAGGCTGCAGCGCATGAGGGGGATGTGAATGGGCAGAAGCGGCTTCTATCCGCTGCTGCCTTTGGCAGAGCCTTCTGCAGGTGAGCCAGGATGGTAGATCTCGAGTACGATCAGATGGAGTGGGTGATGTGCTGATGGGGGAGGCGGTGCGAGGGTGCATGCAGGCTGCAGCGCATGAGGGGGATGTGAATGGGCAGAAGCGGCTTCTATCCGCTGCTGCCTTTGGCAGAGCCTTCTGCAGGTGAGCCAGGATGGTAGATCTCGAGTACGATCAGATGGAGTGGGTGATGTGCTGATGGGGGAGGCGGTGCGAGGGTGCATGCAGGCTGCAGCGCATGAGGGGGATGTGAATGGGCAGAAGCGGCTTCTATCCGCTGCTGCCTTTGGCAGAGCCTTCTGCAGGTGAGCCAGGATGGTAGATCTCGAGTACGATCAGATGGAGTGGGTGATGTGCTGATGGGGGAGGCGGTGCGAGGGTGCATGCAGGCTGCAGCGCATGAGGGGGATGTGAATGGGCAGAAGCGGCTTCTATCCGCTGCTGCCTTTGGCAGAGCCTTCTGCAGGTGAGCCAGGATGGTAGATCTCGAGTACGATCAGATGGAGTGGGTGATGTGCTGATGGGGGAGGCGGTGCGAGGGTGCATGCAGGCTGCAGCGCATGAGGGGGATGTGAATGGGCAGAAGCGGCTTCTATCCGCTGCTGCCTTTGGCAGAGCCTTCTGCAGGTGAGCCAGGATGGTAGATCTCGAGTACGATCAGATGGAGTGGGTGATGTGCTGATGGGGGAGGCGGTGCGAGGGTGCATGCAGGCTGCAGCGCATGAGGGGGATGTGAATGGGCAGAAGCGGCTTCTATCCGCTGCTGCCTTTGGCAGAGCCTTCTGCAGGTGAGCCAGGATGGTAGATCTCGAGTACGATCAGATGGAGTGGGTGATGTGCTGATGGGGGAGGCGGTGCGAGGGTGCATGCAGGCTGCAGCGCATGAGGGGGATGTGAATGGGCAGAAGCGGCTTCTATCCGCTGCTGCCTTTGGCAGAGCCTTCTGCAGGTGAGCCAGGATGGTAGATCTCGAGTACGATCAGATGGAGTGGGTGATGTGCTGATGGGGGAGGCGGTGCGAGGGTGCATGCAGGCTGCAGCGCATGAGGGGGATGTGAATGGGCAGAAGCGGCTTCTATCCGCTGCTGCCTTTGGCAGAGCCTTCTGCAGGTGAGCCAGGATGGTAGATCTCGAGTACGATCAGATGGAGTGGGTGATGTGCTGATGGGGGAGGCGGTGCGAGGGTGCATGCAGGCTGCAGCGCATGAGGGGGATGTGAATGGGCAGAAGCGGCTTCTATCCGCTGCTGCCTTTGGCAGAGCCTTCTGCAGGTGAGCCAGGATGGTAGATCTCGAGTACGATCAGATGGAGTGGGTGATGTGCTGATGGGGGAGGCGGTGCGAGGGTGCATGCAGGCTGCAGCGCATGAGGGGGATGTGAATGGGCAGAAGCGGCTTCTATCCGCTGCTGCCTTTGGCAGAGCCTTCTGCAGGTGAGCCAGGATGGTAGATCTCGAGTACGATCAGATGGAGTGGGTGATGTGCTGATGGGGGAGGCGGTGCGAGGGTGCATGCAGGCTGCAGCGCATGAGGGGGATGTGAATGGGCAGAAGCGGCTTCTATCCGCTGCTGCCTTTGGCAGAGCCTTCTGCAGGTGAGCCAGGATGGTAGATCTCGAGTACGATCAGATGGAGTGGGTGATGTGCTGATGGGGGAGGCGGTGCGAGGGTGCATGCAGGCTGCAGCGCATGAGGGGGATGTGAATGGGCAGAAGCGGCTTCTATCCGCTGCTGCCTTTGGCAGAGCCTTCTGCAGGTGAGCCAGGATGGTAGATCTCGAGTACGATCAGATGGAGTGGGTGATGTGCTGATGGGGGAGGCGGTGCGAGGGTGCATGCAGGCTGCAGCGCATGAGGGGGATGTGAATGGGCAGAAGCGGCTTCTATCCGCTGCTGCCTTTGGCAGAGCCTTCTGCAGGTGAGCCAGGATGGTAGATCTCGAGTACGATCAGATGGAGTGGGTGATGTGCTGATGGGGGAGGCGGTGCGAGGGTGCATGCAGGCTGCAGCGCATGAGGGGGATGTGAATGGGCAGAAGCGGCTTCTATCCGCTGCTGCCTTTGGCAGAGCCTTCTGCAGGTGAGCCAGGATGGTAGATCTCGAGTACGATCAGATGGAGTGGGTGATGTGCTGATGGGGGAGGCGGTGCGAGGGTGCATGCAGGCTGCAGCGCATGAGGGGGATGTGAATGGGCAGAAGCGGCTTCTATCCGCTGCTGCCTTTGGCAGAGCCTTCTGCAGGTGAGCCAGGATGGTAGATCTCGAGTACGATCAGATGGAGTGGGTGATGTGCTGATGGGGGAGGCGGTGCGAGGGTGCATGCAGGCTGCAGCGCATGAGGGGGATGTGAATGGGCAGAAGCGGCTTCTATCCGCTGCTGCCTTTGGCAGAGCCTTCTGCAGGTGAGCCAGGATGGTAGATCTCGAGTACGATCAGATGGAGTGGGTGATGTGCTGATGGGGGAGGCGGTGCGAGGGTGCATGCAGGCTGCAGCGCATGAGGGGGATGTGAATGGGCAGAAGCGGCTTCTATCCGCTGCTGCCTTTGGCAGAGCCTTCTGCAGGTGAGCCAGGATGGTAGATCTCGAGTACGATCAGATGGAGTGGGTGATGTGCTGATGGGGGAGGCGGTGCGAGGGTGCATGCAGGCTGCAGCGCATGAGGGGGATGTGAATGGGCAGAAGCGGCTTCTATCCGCTGCTGCCTTTGGCAGAGCCTTCTGCAGGTGAGCCAGGATGGTAGATCTCGAGTACGATCAGATGGAGTGGGTGATGTGCTGATGGGGGAGGCGGTGCGAGGGTGCATGCAGGCTGCAGCGCATGAGGGGGATGTGAATGGGCAGAAGCGGCTTCTATCCGCTGCTGCCTTTGGCAGAGCCTTCTGCAGGTGAGCCAGGATGGTAGATCTCGAGTACGATCAGATGGAGTGGGTGATGTGCTGATGGGGGAGGCGGTGCGAGGGTGCATGCAGGCTGCAGCGCATGAGGGGGATGTGAATGGGCAGAAGCGGCTTCTATCCGCTGCTGCCTTTGGCAGAGCCTTCTGCAGGTGAGCCAGGATGGTAGATCTCGAGTACGATCAGATGGAGTGGGTGATGTGCTGATGGGGGAGGCGGTGCGAGGGTGCATGCAGGCTGCAGCGCATGAGGGGGATGTGAATGGGCAGAAGCGGCTTCTATCCGCTGCTGCCTTTGGCAGAGCCTTCTGCAGGTGAGCCAGGATGGTAGATCTCGAGTACGATCAGATGGAGTGGGTGATGTGCTGATGGGGGAGGCGGTGCGAGGGTGCATGCAGGCTGCAGCGCATGAGGGGGATGTGAATGGGCAGAAGCGGCTTCTATCCGCTGCTGCCTTTGGCAGAGCCTTCTGCAGGTGAGCCAGGATGGTAGATCTCGAGTACGATCAGATGGAGTGGGTGATGTGCTGATGGGGGAGGCGGTGCGAGGGTGCATGCAGGCTGCAGCGCATGAGGGGGATGTGAATGGGCAGAAGCGGCTTCTATCCGCTGCTGCCTTTGGCAGAGCCTTCTGCAGGTGAGCCAGGATGGTAGATCTCGAGTACGATCAGATGGAGTGGGTGATGTGCTGATGGGGGAGGCGGTGCGAGGGTGCATGCAGGCTGCAGCGCATGAGGGGGATGTGAATGGGCAGAAGCGGCTTCTATCCGCTGCTGCCTTTGGCAGAGCCTTCTGCAGGTGAGCCAGGATGGTAGATCTCGAGTACGATCAGATGGAGTGGGTGATGTGCTGATGGGGGAGGCGGTGCGAGGGTGCATGCAGGCTGCAGCGCATGAGGGGGATGTGAATGGGCAGAAGCGGCTTCTATCCGCTGCTGCCTTTGGCAGAGCCTTCTGCAGGTGAGCCAGGATGGTAGATCTCGAGTACGATCAGATGGAGTGGGTGATGTGCTGATGGGGGAGGCGGTGCGAGGGTGCATGCAGGCTGCAGCGCATGAGGGGGATGTGAATGGGCAGAAGCGGCTTCTATCCGCTGCTGCCTTTGGCAGAGCCTTCTGCAGGTGAGCCAGGATGGTAGATCTCGAGTACGATCAGATGGAGTGGGTGATGTGCTGATGGGGGAGGCGGTGCGAGGGTGCATGCAGGCTGCAGCGCATGAGGGGGATGTGAATGGGCAGAAGCGGCTTCTATCCGCTGCTGCCTTTGGCAGAGCCTTCTGCAGGTGAGCCAGGATGGTAGATCTCGAGTACGATCAGATGGAGTGGGTGATGTGCTGATGGGGGAGGCGGTGCGAGGGTGCATGCAGGCTGCAGCGCATGAGGGGGATGTGAATGGGCAGAAGCGGCTTCTATCCGCTGCTGCCTTTGGCAGAGCCTTCTGCAGGTGAGCCAGGATGGTAGATCTCGAGTACGATCAGATGGAGTGGGTGATGTGCTGATGGGGGAGGCGGTGCGAGGGTGCATGCAGGCTGCAGCGCATGAGGGGGATGTGAATGGGCAGAAGCGGCTTCTATCCGCTGCTGCCTTTGGCAGAGCCTTCTGCAGGTGAGCCAGGATGGTAGATCTCGAGTACGATCAGATGGAGTGGGTGATGTGCTGATGGGGGAGGCGGTGCGAGGGTGCATGCAGGCTGCAGCGCATGAGGGGGATGTGAATGGGCAGAAGCGGCTTCTATCCGCTGCTGCCTTTGGCAGAGCCTTCTGCAGGTGAGCCAGGATGGTAGATCTCGAGTACGATCAGATGGAGTGGGTGATGTGCTGATGGGGGAGGCGGTGCGAGGGTGCATGCAGGCTGCAGCGCATGAGGGGGATGTGAATGGGCAGAAGCGGCTTCTATCCGCTGCTGCCTTTGGCAGAGCCTTCTGCAGGTGAGCCAGGATGGTAGATCTCGAGTACGATCAGATGGAGTGGGTGATGTGCTGATGGGGGAGGCGGTGCGAGGGTGCATGCAGGCTGCAGCGCATGAGGGGGATGTGAATGGGCAGAAGCGGCTTCTATCCGCTGCTGCCTTTGGCAGAGCCTTCTGCAGGTGAGCCAGGATGGTAGATCTCGAGTACGATCAGATGGAGTGGGTGATGTGCTGATGGGGGAGGCGGTGCGAGGGTGCATGCAGGCTGCAGCGCATGAGGGGGATGTGAATGGGCAGAAGCGGCTTCTATCCGCTGCTGCCTTTGGCAGAGCCTTCTGCAGGTGAGCCAGGATGGTAGATCTCGAGTACGATCAGATGGAGTGGGTGATGTGCTGATGGGGGAGGCGGTGCGAGGGTGCATGCAGGCTGCAGCGCATGAGGGGGATGTGAATGGGCAGAAGCGGCTTCTATCCGCTGCTGCCTTTGGCAGAGCCTTCTGCAGGTGAGCCAGGATGGTAGATCTCGAGTACGATCAGATGGAGTGGGTGATGTGCTGATGGGGGAGGCGGTGCGAGGGTGCATGCAGGCTGCAGCGCATGAGGGGGATGTGAATGGGCAGAAGCGGCTTCTATCCGCTGCTGCCTTTGGCAGAGCCTTCTGCAGGTGAGCCAGGATGGTAGATCTCGAGTACGATCAGATGGAGTGGGTGATGTGCTGATGGGGGAGGCGGTGCGAGGGTGCATGCAGGCTGCAGCGCATGAGGGGGATGTGAATGGGCAGAAGCGGCTTCTATCCGCTGCTGCCTTTGGCAGAGCCTTCTGCAGGTGAGCCAGGATGGTAGATCTCGAGTACGATCAGATGGAGTGGGTGATGTGCTGATGGGGGAGGCGGTGCGAGGGTGCATGCAGGCTGCAGCGCATGAGGGGGATGTGAATGGGCAGAAGCGGCTTCTATCCGCTGCTGCCTTTGGCAGAGCCTTCTGCAGGTGAGCCAGGATGGTAGATCTCGAGTACGATCAGATGGAGTGGGTGATGTGCTGATGGGGGAGGCGGTGCGAGGGTGCATGCAGGCTGCAGCGCATGAGGGGGATGTGAATGGGCAGAAGCGGCTTCTATCCGCTGCTGCCTTTGGCAGAGCCTTCTGCAGGTGAGCCAGGATGGTAGATCTCGAGTACGATCAGATGGAGTGGGTGATGTGCTGATGGGGGAGGCGGTGCGAGGGTGCATGCAGGCTGCAGCGCATGAGGGGGATGTGAATGGGCAGAAGCGGCTTCTATCCGCTGCTGCCTTTGGCAGAGCCTTCTGCAGGTGAGCCAGGATGGTAGATCTCGAGTACGATCAGATGGAGTGGGTGATGTGCTGATGGGGGAGGCGGTGCGAGGGTGCATGCAGGCTGCAGCGCATGAGGGGGATGTGAATGGGCAGAAGCGGCTTCTATCCGCTGCTGCCTTTGGCAGAGCCTTCTGCAGGTGAGCCAGGATGGTAGATCTCGAGTACGATCAGATGGAGTGGGTGATGTGCTGATGGGGGAGGCGGTGCGAGGGTGCATGCAGGCTGCAGCGCATGAGGGGGATGTGAATGGGCAGAAGCGGCTTCTATCCGCTGCTGCCTTTGGCAGAGCCTTCTGCAGGTGAGCCAGGATGGTAGATCTCGAGTACGATCAGATGGAGTGGGTGATGTGCTGATGGGGGAGGCGGTGCGAGGGTGCATGCAGGCTGCAGCGCATGAGGGGGATGTGAATGGGCAGAAGCGGCTTCTATCCGCTGCTGCCTTTGGCAGAGCCTTCTGCAGGTGAGCCAGGATGGTAGATCTCGAGTACGATCAGATGGAGTGGGTGATGTGCTGATGGGGGAGGCGGTGCGAGGGTGCATGCAGGCTGCAGCGCATGAGGGGGATGTGAATGGGCAGAAGCGGCTTCTATCCGCTGCTGCCTTTGGCAGAGCCTTCTGCAGGTGAGCCAGGATGGTAGATCTCGAGTACGATCAGATGGAGTGGGTGATGTGCTGATGGGGGAGGCGGTGCGAGGGTGCATGCAGGCTGCAGCGCATGAGGGGGATGTGAATGGGCAGAAGCGGCTTCTATCCGCTGCTGCCTTTGGCAGAGCCTTCTGCAGGTGAGCCAGGATGGTAGATCTCGAGTACGATCAGATGGAGTGGGTGATGTGCTGATGGGGGAGGCGGTGCGAGGGTGCATGCAGGCTGCAGCGCATGAGGGGGATGTGAATGGGCAGAAGCGGCTTCTATCCGCTGCTGCCTTTGGCAGAGCCTTCTGCAGGTGAGCCAGGATGGTAGATCTCGAGTACGATCAGATGGAGTGGGTGATGTGCTGATGGGGGAGGCGGTGCGAGGGTGCATGCAGGCTGCAGCGCATGAGGGGGATGTGAATGGGCAGAAGCGGCTTCTATCCGCTGCTGCCTTTGGCAGAGCCTTCTGCAGGTGAGCCAGGATGGTAGATCTCGAGTACGATCAGATGGAGTGGGTGATGTGCTGATGGGGGAGGCGGTGCGAGGGTGCATGCAGGCTGCAGCGCATGAGGGGGATGTGAATGGGCAGAAGCGGCTTCTATCCGCTGCTGCCTTTGGCAGAGCCTTCTGCAGGTGAGCCAGGATGGTAGATCTCGAGTACGATCAGATGGAGTGGGTGATGTGCTGATGGGGGAGGCGGTGCGAGGGTGCATGCAGGCTGCAGCGCATGAGGGGGATGTGAATGGGCAGAAGCGGCTTCTATCCGCTGCTGCCTTTGGCAGAGCCTTCTGCAGGTGAGCCAGGATGGTAGATCTCGAGTACGATCAGATGGAGTGGGTGATGTGCTGATGGGGGAGGCGGTGCGAGGGTGCATGCAGGCTGCAGCGCATGAGGGGGATGTGAATGGGCAGAAGCGGCTTCTATCCGCTGCTGCCTTTGGCAGAGCCTTCTGCAGGTGAGCCAGGATGGTAGATCTCGAGTACGATCAGATGGAGTGGGTGATGTGCTGATGGGGGAGGCGGTGCGAGGGTGCATGCAGGCTGCAGCGCATGAGGGGGATGTGAATGGGCAGAAGCGGCTTCTATCCGCTGCTGCCTTTGGCAGAGCCTTCTGCAGGTGAGCCAGGATGGTAGATCTCGAGTACGATCAGATGGAGTGGGTGATGTGCTGATGGGGGAGGCGGTGCGAGGGTGCATGCAGGCTGCAGCGCATGAGGGGGATGTGAATGGGCAGAAGCGGCTTCTATCCGCTGCTGCCTTTGGCAGAGCCTTCTGCAGGTGAGCCAGGATGGTAGATCTCGAGTACGATCAGATGGAGTGGGTGATGTGCTGATGGGGGAGGCGGTGCGAGGGTGCATGCAGGCTGCAGCGCATGAGGGGGATGTGAATGGGCAGAAGCGGCTTCTATCCGCTGCTGCCTTTGGCAGAGCCTTCTGCAGGTGAGCCAGGATGGTAGATCTCGAGTACGATCAGATGGAGTGGGTGATGTGCTGATGGGGGAGGCGGTGCGAGGGTGCATGCAGGCTGCAGCGCATGAGGGGGATGTGAATGGGCAGAAGCGGCTTCTATCCGCTGCTGCCTTTGGCAGAGCCTTCTGCAGGTGAGCCAGGATGGTAGATCTCGAGTACGATCAGATGGAGTGGGTGATGTGCTGATGGGGGAGGCGGTGCGAGGGTGCATGCAGGCTGCAGCGCATGAGGGGGATGTGAATGGGCAGAAGCGGCTTCTATCCGCTGCTGCCTTTGGCAGAGCCTTCTGCAGGTGAGCCAGGATGGTAGATCTCGAGTACGATCAGATGGAGTGGGTGATGTGCTGATGGGGGAGGCGGTGCGAGGGTGCATGCAGGCTGCAGCGCATGAGGGGGATGTGAATGGGCAGAAGCGGCTTCTATCCGCTGCTGCCTTTGGCAGAGCCTTCTGCAGGTGAGCCAGGATGGTAGATCTCGAGTACGATCAGATGGAGTGGGTGATGTGCTGATGGGGGAGGCGGTGCGAGGGTGCATGCAGGCTGCAGCGCATGAGGGGGATGTGAATGGGCAGAAGCGGCTTCTATCCGCTGCTGCCTTTGGCAGAGCCTTCTGCAGGTGAGCCAGGATGGTAGATCTCGAGTACGATCAGATGGAGTGGGTGATGTGCTGATGGGGGAGGCGGTGCGAGGGTGCATGCAGGCTGCAGCGCATGAGGGGGATGTGAATGGGCAGAAGCGGCTTCTATCCGCTGCTGCCTTTGGCAGAGCCTTCTGCAGGTGAGCCAGGATGGTAGATCTCGAGTACGATCAGATGGAGTGGGTGATGTGCTGATGGGGGAGGCGGTGCGAGGGTGCATGCAGGCTGCAGCGCATGAGGGGGATGTGAATGGGCAGAAGCGGCTTCTATCCGCTGCTGCCTTTGGCAGAGCCTTCTGCAGGTGAGCCAGGATGGTAGATCTCGAGTACGATCAGATGGAGTGGGTGATGTGCTGATGGGGGAGGCGGTGCGAGGGTGCATGCAGGCTGCAGCGCATGAGGGGGATGTGAATGGGCAGAAGCGGCTTCTATCCGCTGCTGCCTTTGGCAGAGCCTTCTGCAGGTGAGCCAGGATGGTAGATCTCGAGTACGATCAGATGGAGTGGGTGATGTGCTGATGGGGGAGGCGGTGCGAGGGTGCATGCAGGCTGCAGCGCATGAGGGGGATGTGAATGGGCAGAAGCGGCTTCTATCCGCTGCTGCCTTTGGCAGAGCCTTCTGCAGGTGAGCCAGGATGGTAGATCTCGAGTACGATCAGATGGAGTGGGTGATGTGCTGATGGGGGAGGCGGTGCGAGGGTGCATGCAGGCTGCAGCGCATGAGGGGGATGTGAATGGGCAGAAGCGGCTTCTATCCGCTGCTGCCTTTGGCAGAGCCTTCTGCAGGTGAGCCAGGATGGTAGATCTCGAGTACGATCAGATGGAGTGGGTGATGTGCTGATGGGGGAGGCGGTGCGAGGGTGCATGCAGGCTGCAGCGCATGAGGGGGATGTGAATGGGCAGAAGCGGCTTCTATCCGCTGCTGCCTTTGGCAGAGCCTTCTGCAGGTGAGCCAGGATGGTAGATCTCGAGTACGATCAGATGGAGTGGGTGATGTGCTGATGGGGGAGGCGGTGCGAGGGTGCATGCAGGCTGCAGCGCATGAGGGGGATGTGAATGGGCAGAAGCGGCTTCTATCCGCTGCTGCCTTTGGCAGAGCCTTCTGCAGGTGAGCCAGGATGGTAGATCTCGAGTACGATCAGATGGAGTGGGTGATGTGCTGATGGGGGAGGCGGTGCGAGGGTGCATGCAGGCAATAATGGTATGACTTCTGATGGGGGAGGCCAATGGAGAATTCTCAAAAGTCATACCAATAATTGTGCTGATGGGGGAGGCCAATCGAGAATTCATGCAGGCTGCAGCGCATGAGGGGGATGTGGATGGGCAGAAACGGCTTCTAGCTGCTGCAGCCTTTGGCAGGGCCTTCTGCAGGTGAGCCAGGATGGTAGGTAGATGGTGTGTACATTTTGGAGTGGGTGATGTGCTGATGGGGGTGGTAGTGATGGATTGGAGGCGGTGATGGAGATGGTCGTATAGGTCTGTCTCCTTGTGTATTACTTGGCGATTCATTGTGCCGATTGCACACACCTCTCCTCTCCTCTCCAACCCCTGGGTTTCCTTCCAGGAAGTTTCCTCGCGACCGCATGATGAGTCTGTGCAAGGACCTGCGGGTGTTGAACGCGGTGCGGAGGGCAGAGGAGGACGGGCTGACCAATGGCGTGAGGGCCATGGAGACAGCGGGCATGCCACTCACTTACTCACAATACAAGGTGACTTGAGCATTCATTCGTTCGTTTGCTTGCTGTGTCTCTTTGTTGAGAGGCAATTTTCGAGGCGCCTCAAGAGGTGGGATGCTGTGCTGGATGCGGTGCGGAGGGCAGAGGAGGACGGGTTCACCAATGGCGTGAGGGCCATGGTGACAGCGGGTATGCCACTCACTTACTCACAATACAAGGTGACTTTAGCATTCATTCGTCCGTTTGCTTGCTGCGTCTCTTTGTTGAGAGGCGATTTTTGAGGCACCTCCCACCCAACGCCTCAGGAGCTCTCTCCAGAACGCCTTATCGCCCGCCTGTGCTCCACACACCACCACCTTCTCGCACTTGGATTTGACCCCCCAAACAATGTTGCTCCCCGCTCTCCTCCTTCCCATCGTCTCAGGAGCTCTCCCCTGCACGCCTTATCGCCCGCCTCTGCTCCACACACCACCACCTGCTCGCCCTTCGGGTAGCCGCATTTCTCGGCCTTCGCACGGTAAGGCCCTGCCTTAGCATGTGAGAGCCCCAGGCGTCTCTTTCCCCTCATCTTTGGGAGCTTAGCGCCATATCCAATGTCTTCTCTTCTTCTGTTTGTCCTTCCAATACATCCATCTCCTTTTCTGCCCTCACCTTGCTCCTTTCACCTTGGCACATCAGGCAACTTCGAACTTTGCCTCTTCAGCTATTGCTCTGTCTCTGCAAATACCCACCAGGAGAGCGTGTTGGAGCATTGGGCAATATCCAAGATCCTTTCTGCATCGCAAATGCCTGATGAAGTGCTCTATGATACTATAATAAAGCAGGCGAGTCACTCTATAGTGGAGCAAAACCATTCACTTCTTACGTTAACCACACCCGTCCGTCCACACCCTATGGCCACTCGTTTGCCCACACCCGTTTGTCACTCGTTTATCCACACTCGTAAATACTTTTTTTCTAGCTGATCTATGTATGGACAGCCTCATTCCCTCCACCACCTCTTGCAGATTCACACGGACAAGCGGGGCAGCCTGGCAGTATCCTCTGCCTTCCACACCACGCAGGCTGCATGAAAGCCAGTACGACATTACTCCTCCCCCACTCCTTCCTTCACACCCCTCTTCAGATCGACACGGACAAGCGGGGCAGCCTGGCAGTATCGTTTGCAGCCGTGGCTACAGTGGCGTTTCACACGGGCAGGCACGAGCTGGCCACACGGCTGCTGGAGAGGGAGGTTCATACAGGCCGGCAGGTGAGAGGCCCCTTGGAAAGGAAAACCATAGCGGCAGGTGCGTTATTAGCCAACACAGTGCCGTGGCTACAGTGGCGTTTCACACGGGCTGGCACGAGCGGGCCGCACGGCTTCTGGAGAGGGAGGTTCATACAGGCCGGCAGGTGAGAGACCTCTTGGAAAGGAAAACCATGGTGGCAGGTGCGCCGTCGGGGTGACTTTTGAGTCGACTCAAAAGTCACCTTGTGGAAAGGAAATCCATGGAGGCAGGTGCGCTGTCGGTTTATGCACTGAGGTGGCGTTTCACACAGGCCGGCACGAGCTGGCCACACGGCTGCTGGAGAGGGAGGTTCACACTGAGAGGCAGGTGAGGGATGGTGACGGGGCAGGTGAGAGATGGTGACGGGGCAGGTGAGGGATGGTGACGGGGCAGGTGAGAGATGGTGACGGGGCAGGTGAGAGATGGTGACGGGGCAGGTGAGAGATGGTGACGGGGCAGGTGAGAGATGGTGACGGGGCAGGTGAGAGATGGTGACGGGGCAGGTGAGAGATGGTGACGGGGCAGGTGAGAGATGGTGACGGGGCAGGTGAGAGATGGTGACGGGGCAGGTGAGAGATGGTGACGGGGCAGGTGAGAGATGGTTACAAGGCAGCTGGGACCAGATTTTTCTATCTCGCTTCATTTCTCTCCTTCTCTCTCCCACTCCCCCCTCCTCCCCCCCCTCCCTCCAGGTGCGCCTGCTGCTGGAAATGGGAGCATTCGAGGCAGCTCTATGGAAGGCGGAGGCGGGGCCAGATGCGGACTTTGTGTTCCAAGTGCTCTTCCAGCTGCTCGATAAGGTGAACTATTGCGTGCTTGCTTGATTGCTTGCCCTTCGATACGGTGTGTGTTTGTGTTGCTCCTGTTGGACAAGCGCGGCAGTCCGATGGAAGGCAGAGGCGGGGCCAGATGCGGACTTTGTGTTTCAAGTGCTCTTCCAGCTGCTGGATAAGTGAATGTTTGTGTTGCTTCTGTTGAACAAGGAAGGCCAGATGCGGACTTTGTGTTCCAAGTGCTCTTCCAGCTGCTGGATAAGTGAATGTTTGTGTTGCTTCTGTTGAACAAGGAAGGCCAGATGCGGACTTTGTGTTCCAAGTGCTCTTCCAGCTGCTGGATAAGGTGAGCTATTGCGTGCTTGCCTGCTTGTGCTTCTCGCTTGCTTGTTGCTCCGTAAGGTTTGTGCTTGGTTGACTCGCGAGTCAAAAACGGACTTGGTGTCAAGTTCGCTTCAAGCTGCTTGGTATTGTGCGGGTGTGCTCATGCTCAACCCAACCCCACCCGACCCAACCCAGCTACACCCAACCCAACCCACACAAACCGAACTGTACCCGCGCAGGCGCCAGAGGAGCAGGTGTTTGAGCTGCTCAAGAGCCACCCCACTGCCCGAAGCCTCTTCATCTCATACTGCAAGTGAGTTCCCCTCCCGTGTTGGATCACCCTCTGACTTACTGTCATGTTCTTGTGCCTTTTTTTTTTGTTTCTTTGTTCCTTTCTTAAATTTCTCTGTAAACTTGATTGGGGTATGCTTACCATAGTTGCCTCCACGTCTTATAATGCAAACGAGTTCCCTCTCTTGTCACCCTCTTGCTACCATATTGCCATATTTGTTTCCTCCATCATAGATGTTGCAACTGTATGTCCTCATTATTATTATCATCAGTATGTGGTCTCCTCTCCTTGTTTCCTTCTTCTTCCCCCCACTTTGTTGTCGCAGAAAATCCGACATTCCTCTGCTGATGCGATTCTATGAGCGCTCATCCATGCACCAGGTGATTTTGCAGGTGGTATGTCTGGTGATTTGTCAGGTGCTATGTCAGGTGGGTGCTATATCAGACAATTCAGCAGGTGGTATGTCAGTTATTTTGGCAGGTGATTTAAAAAAAGCGAGGAGTAGGTGGGCAGCAGAGAGAGCGTGAGGTTGCTGGGCGCAGCAGCAGCAGAGCTCTCATCTCATCCCACCCTCCTCCCACCCATCCCTCCCCTTCCCCATCCCCCTCCCCCTCCCCCTCCCCCTCTCGTCCAGCAGATTGTGAAACAGGGAGTGCAAGAGGGTGGGAGTAAATGGGCGGAAGAGAGGTGAGGGAGCTTGAAGCAGCAGCAGAGCCCTCATCCAACCCGCCCCTCCCTTTCTCTCGCCCCTCCTTTTCTCCCGCCCCTCCTTTTCTCCCGCCCTCTCTCCCGAGACGTCTCAAAAATGCTCTCATCCAACCCGCCCCTCCCTTTCTCTCGCCCTCTCTCCCTTTACCATCCCCCACCCTTGTCGATCTCAGTGTGTGGCAGAGCAGATCGTGAAACAGGGATTGCAGGAGGGGTTGAACAGGTGGGGGGCAGGGGCAGCAGAGCGGGAGAGGGAGCTCGAAGCAGCAGGGAGGCTGCTCCCGCCCAACCGATTGAAGAAGTGTTTTGAGCGGGAGAGGGAGCTCGAAGAAGTGTTTTGAAGAAGTGTCTCAAAACACTTCTTCAATCACGCAGCAGGGAGGCTGCTCCCACCCAACCCCTTCGTCCCTTTCTCCCGCCCTCCCTTTTCCTCCCTCGCTATTGTTGCACTCAGTGTGTGGCAGAGCAGATCGTGAAGCAGGGGGTGCAGGAGGGGCTGAACAGGTGGGGAGCGGAGAGGGTGAGGGAGCTGGAAGCAGCAGCAGAGCTGCTCTCAAGGACCAGAGACCACGGGTTTCAGGCGAAAGCAGTGGAAGATTCTGTGAAGCTTCTGCGGTACGTGTGGGGTGTTTCGTGGTGTTGTGGGTGGGAGTGGGGGTGATACTGATGCTGATGCTGATGCTGTTGCTGATGCTGATGATGATGGTGATGGTGGTCTCAGCAGCAGCAGCAGCAGAAGCAGCAGCAGCAGAAGCAGCAGCAGCAGCAGCAAGCACGGACTTATCTTGAGCTCACTGACCACTGCCAATTGCTGCCCACCTGCTAGCTGTTGCAGCGGTTGGCTGTGATGCCTCGTTGCACAGAAGGGGGCTCATACAATCTCCTCACTCTTCTTTCCCCCTTGTGTGACCCATGCCCGTCTCTCTCCCACCCAGCTTTCAGCAGCAGTTAGAAGCAGCAGGAGTGCACCTGGCCGCACCCACCACCACCGCCACTGCCACGGGTGCAGGGGAGGGTATGGGGATCGGGGAGGAGGAGGGCAGGAGGAGGAGTGTGGTCGGTGCGAGTGTGAATGATACGATTGCGGCGTGCCTAGCCGCGGGGAACCACAGAGAAGCTCAAAAGCTGAAGAGCGAATTCAAGGTGAGACCTGCTTTTAAGTTTGAATTGAAATGACTGTTCAGTCGACTCCAAGTGACTTTGTTACCGTAGTCGACTCAAAAGTCATCACAGAGAACCACAGAGAAGCTCAAAAGCTGAAGAGCGAATTCAAAGTGAGACCTGCATGTGTCACCCTCCTTCCTTGTGGTCCTATTGCATGGCTAAATAAAGAGAAGCATGAAAGAACTGGTCGCGGAGAAGAACGGCCCGAACGAACTGGCTAAGACTGCACGCACTGGCTCGCCTAGGAGCGTGAGAGGGGCTGGGGAACGTGTTTTGAGTCGACTCAAAACACGACTCATTACATGCAGGCACTGGCTCGCCTAGGAGCGTGAGAGGGGCTGGGGAAACTGTCTAAGGAGAGACAACCTCTCTGGTGGTCCTGCTGGTATTTTCACCCCTTTGCACTCCCACCCACTCTTCTCATCCATGGTCTGTATAGGTTCCAGGGCAGCGCTACTACTGGCTGAGACTACAGGCTTGGCTCGCCTGAGGGACTGTGAGGGGCTGGAGAAGCTGTTGAAGGAGCGACACGGTTTAGCGGGCCTGCTGGTATCCCCACCCCCTTCCATCGCTGAGCCGCCCCTGTGCTTGTCACTCCCCTTCTTCCACACACACAGGTCCCCGAGAGGCGCTACTACTGGCTGAGACTGCAGGCTCAGGCCCGCTCAAGGGACTGGGAGGGGCTGGAGAAGTTGTTCAGACAGCAACGGCCTGCGGTGGTCCTGCTGGTATCCCCACCCCCATTCCATCATCTACATTCTGTACCCTTTATAAGCAGGTTCCGGAGAGACGCTACTATTGGCTGAGACTGCAGGCTCTGGCGCGGCTAAGGGACTGGGAGGGGCTGGAGAAGTTGTTCAGACAGCAACGGCCTGCGGTGGTCCTGCTGGTATCCCCACCCATATTCCATCATCTACATTCTGTACCCTTAATAAGCAGGTTCCGGAGAGACGTTACTACTGGCTGAGACTACAGGCTCTAGCTCGCCTGAGGGACTGGGAGGGGCTGGAGAAGCTGTTCAAGGAGCGACGCCCTCTGGTGGGGTTGAGGGCTTTCGTAGAAGCGTGTGTGGAGCAAGGCGCTGTGGTGGAGGCTGCTAAATACGTTGGGAGGATCGGGGACGCAAGCGAGAGAGAAGAGGTGAGAGAAGGCAGAGATTGGAGAGGGAACGGAGGATGAGAGGGTGAATGTGCGGGCGTTTGTAAAGGCGTGTGTGGAAGGCGCTCTGCCACTTGAGAGGTTAGGGAGTGAGAGGAGGTTTGAATATAAAAATTGTTCTTTCTCTTATACGCTCTGCCACTTGACATTTTCTGTAACATCCTTCCTATACCCCCGTCCTCCATACTCTCACCTCTGACACAGCTTGCACCCTCACTTCCGCACTCATTTCCACACTCACTTTCCACCTTCGCTTCCACCCACTCCCACAACCTACCACCCACCATCTCGCACCCACCCCAATGCAGCTGTCACGTCGGTTGAACCTTCCAGACATGACATCTGAAGCAGCAGCTGCCGCAGCAGCAGAGAGGGGCGAGGGTGCCATTTTGGGTACTCTGCGATCCTTTGCTGCTGCCGGCAGTGCTGCAGGTGCTGCTGCTGTTGCCGCCAACCCCACAGCTTCCTCCTTTTTCGGTTTCGGCAGTTTATCATTCAGTGGTAGAGGTGAAGGATGAAGGATGCTGTGTAGGTAAAACATGTGGGATTCTGAGCCGGTTTATATTTAGTATCAATGGGGTGCACGACTGCAGATGCCCCTCATGCACATTAATGTGCTTGCTAATGTTTTTTTTTCCTTGGAGGACAAAACCATCTATAGTATGCTTACGGAAATTAGGTCAAGTGTAACACAAGCATGTGTGTGAGCTTTCGCTGCAAACGCGAAAAAGGCGCCCAGGCCCGAGCCTCATGTTTCATGTGCTCGATGCTGGGGCCGTGGACCTGGCTGGTGATGGCAGTTTTCCTTCGCTCGTGGCACCGACATTGACAACCCTTAGGCGACCCAATCAGGTTCTTCCGACAGCATAACTTATCATCATAAATGCCACGTCAACTTCCAAAACTGCCAGTCTGCAGGCATTGACGAGTTTTTTGTGCCAACTGGAACCTGGTGATTTCACGAAAGATCGCAGCCGTAGACTGGTCGGGGTTTGGGCAATTGGCTCTGCAGCTGCACGAATTTCACGAAAAGATTGCGGTACTTCGCTTGATAGAATAGCGCTTGTAGCGAGAGTTTCGCCAATTGCTTATTTCGACGAAGATACCTCGAAAGGCGCGGGAATATCACACGAAACCACGCGCAACGACGCTGCCACGCGCGCGGGCGGGAGCCACAAACCAATGGCGCTGCGTGATTCGCTTGAGCACCAATGGCGTGCGGGCCGGGTGGGGCCACCAACTGTCTCTGCTGTCGCTAGCTTGTCCCGCAAGCAGTTCGTGTACTGTACATACCCGACCCGAGCGACCCGACTTCAAATTCTTGTCGCATAATTGCTTTCCCATTCTGATTGTCCTGTGGAGTTTGTTTGTGAGATCCCGTTTTCTGCTTCCGAAGCATTTTGCGCCCCTTCACTCCACACTCCCTTCGTGAATCGTGATTGCCCGCAGTGCCAGTTCTCCTGATCCCTTCCCTTCATTTCTCATGGCTCTCGCGCTTCAGAAATCCGCACTTTTCACGTTGCTGCAACTAGCAGTACTACTGCTGCTGACTCAAATTGCCGTTGCTACAAGCGGACAGACGAACATTACTCAGATCCGTGCGAGCGCTGCTGCTCTGCCGTGCAGCCGGTCTCCCGTCGCTGGATTCGCAAAGAAAGTCACGCTGAAACCAGGGTACGTGCTGGACATGTGTGGAAATGTGGATAGAACAGAGATTTGCGGTGTGCGTTTTGGAAATGACTGCATGAAGCTCATGCAAATAACTTACTCACAGGCCTTCGTGCTCGTAGGCTGAGCGAGTGGAAACACGTAATTTACACTAGATGCACAAGCTATTCTCTGAAACATTCGCGGGAGGAAAAAAAAAAAAACCATTAAGGAACTTCGTCCAACGGAACACTGTCGCGGTCTATTCCCTGTCATTTGAAGCCGTGCCGCGCGGCACCGCGCTCCGAGCGCTGTGCGTGAAGATCGCGCCGGGTACTAAAACGAGCCTGCTCAATACGTTCCCTTGTTGAGGTAGTTTTTAAGGCGCCTCAAAAACCTTCCCCTTGTTGATACCCTTGCACAACTCAGCATCGTCTTCCACTGACGATTCCTTTCTGCCACCCACCTCACAAACGCACACCAGGCTCGTGTTCCACTAGAAGGTGCTGTATGGGAACACGCTCCGCGCAGCGATAATCGCAAACCCTTCCCTCCCGCCTGGTGCGCGGGAACGCATCCTTTTCTTTTGGTCGATGATTCCGCAAACCCTTCCCTCCCGTCACCCTCCCCACCCCACCCACCTCACAAACGCACACCAGGCTCGTGTTCCACTGGAAGGTGCTGTACGGGAACACGCTCCGCGCGGCGATAATCGCAAACCCTTCCCTCCCGCCTGGTGCGCGGAAATACATCTTTTTTCGGTAGATGATCCCGCAAACCCCTCCCTCCCGTTACCCTCCCCACCCCACGCACACCAGGCTCGTGTTTCACTGGAAGGTCCTGTACGGGAACACGCTCCGCGCCGCGATCATCGCGCAGGCAAGCAGCGGCGCGAAAAGCGGGTGGATCGCGATCGGGTGGACCAGGAGCGCGGGGAAGATGTACCCCGCGGACGCCGTCGTGGGGAATCTCCCCGCGCCGAATGGCGTCCAGCCGTACGCGATGACCAGCTACAGTGCTGTAGCGAAGTCGACCGCTTTTACTGTAACGAGAGCAGTTGTAGCGCGAAAATCGAGGTCTACAGTCATCAGGTGCGCATCGAGCCAAGTCCAGCCACTGCTGTTGGGTGCTCTACCACCTGATGAGCGTACGTAGGCCGAACCGAAGCACCTCGTTGGGATCTGAGTCGACTCAGAAACCCATTGCTGAGGCATGTCGACTCGTTGAGAGTCCTTGTTACAAGGCGAGTCGTTCTAGTAGCGACCGTATCGTGGTCATTCCGTCCTACCAGAACCCGTCCCTAATTTAGCGCCAAGAGTTCTCCCGATGTTGGATACCCTTAACCCGAAACCCGCCACTTCTCATGGGCTCTTCAAATTTTCCACCAGCAGACCCTTAAACCCGAAACCCGAAACTCTAGACCCTTCCATTGTTGACTGTTACGGTCCGAAACCCTATTGGTCGTCAATCCGTCCGTCATGAAAAGGATCGCACAAAGTAACAATCATTTAAGGCGTGATGAGAGTCTGAGGGGCCTGTCTGTACCCTCCTGGTTCAGGTTCACTCAGAAGCGGCAGATCTGGCTTCCTGTCACCATCAATCTGCCCGCATAAGCAGCATCATCCACAACCACGCGACTCTTCCTTCCCGCCCCTCAGGTTCACTCGCAGCGGCACAACGGGCCTGTCGTCGATCAACTACGCGGGCAGCAACAACATCCTCTGGGCCTACTCCGCCGACGGTTCGACCACTCTCGGAAACCACGGTCCCAACCGGTACGAACCTATTTGCACCACTGCAGGATGATGTTTGAGTGTCGACTCGTAAGTTCTGAGTGGAGCCCAAAAACGATATCCCCTGGGGCCTACTCCGCCGACGGCTCCAAACGCTCTCGGCAACCACGGTCCCAATCGGTACGACCTTATTGCACCAAACTCACTTTGAGACGTCTCAAGACGTATCTTGAAACGCGTCGTCTCAAACTCCATCTCCTCCTCCGGATCCACCACTATGCGCAACCACGGTCCGAAACCGGTACGTACGACCTAATTGCATCACTGCAATTCCTCACTTGCCTAAACGCAACCGCTGCGCGTTCCAAGGACCACCAGCCCCTAACGCATTTTTCTAGAAATGGGGGCAACGAGCTCCTCCGTGAAGAGCTTGTTGTATGGCGAAAAATACCCTAATCTTCCTGCTCGCTTCTTACCCTAAACTTCCTGCTCGCTTCTTACCCTAATCTTCCTGCTCACTTCTTGCCCTAAATTTTCTGCTCGTTTACTAACATGAGTGGTATGTGCTGCTGTGCAGGGGTTCTGCGACTATTGACCTCGCGTGCAAAATCTGACGAGTTGACTTATCGTTGGGGGCACTGTCGATAATCTCGTACCCGTTTGTGCTTCCTCGTGAACGCCATATGCATTTGTTTGTATGCACTTGGTATGCTTGTTGGTATGCATTTGTTTGCTACACTTGGACCAAGTAAGACTAGATGTTTACAGAGGATGCTGCTGATGAAACCTGTACTAGATCTGGGAAATGGTGGGGAAGGGTAACTATAGGCAAGCTGGGCTAACTTGGCAATCATTTATCTGTTGTAATTGATTCTTGCTAACAATATTTGGATTTCTTTGCTTGGCTAGCGAATTACGGCAATACTTATTTACATACACAATAGGACCACATAACAAGCCAAAAGAAATAAAGTATGCATGTGCAAAACCTCAGCTCATGTACCAGACGTGCCCTAAGTCTGTTGAGAAGTAAGGACTTTTAAGTCTTCTTGCAACACTTCTTCCAACGAGACGTACAATGCGAGTCATTTGGGCTTATGCTGCCAGCCCTCAACACTGGCACCTCGGTTCAAATAAGAGCGTGGAACATCCTTGTGAACAAGTGTCCCGTCGGCTCTCTGGTCGAACATTTGTCTCGTCAATGGTTTTCGTCAGGTAACACGCAAAACCCCATATCCCAAGTTGGAAACACTTGGTCGCCCAGAAATACGGAGTCGCGATGATACATGAAAGCGCCTGATTCGTCAAACACCGTGCTGCAAATTGGGTCGCAGCACGTCACTCACAACAACACCTGGTTTCATTTCGCATGTTTTTCCTGACGTCGCCACTTCTTGTCTTATCTGCGAGGTTCAACGGGTGGGGCGACCAACAAGCATAAGCTGTGGAACGTGCGTTCTTCGGGCAGTCTTCGTCAGTCTGCTTCGTAGGTCAATGGCGATGGTCGCAACAATGATTACTGTCGCTGTTGGGCGACCATCGCCTTGTTCAAAAGGATGTTCCACGCCCTAACAAATGTACCGGTACGACATCTGCGTGTACAACGAGCGTCAGCATTTCGTGCGATGGTTTCACTTGTGCGACCGCCTCCCCCAGTCGAGCCGTCACAATAGGACAAACCTTCATGAGTGTCCGCGTCTGACGTGCTTCTATGACGTGGCAGTTCTGTATTGTTGGCGAACGAGCGTCATCTTATGACAAGTGGTCCTTGACTATGTCGGTGCGCCCTCGATAAGGCCATAATCAGCGTGGGTATGCGACGCGAAGAATATTCGCATCGCGTGTCCCATGGACCCATGCATGTGGCGATCACGCAAGTCCACACGACACGAGTCACTTCTGCCTGGGGAGGGACGATGGGCTGTTGAGGAGGCATCATCAAGTCAAGGGAGGTTCGTCCCCGGGACGCTACTAAAATCAATGTCGCAGCTTCGATGTACAGTACATAGCAGAACCGAGGCTGATTTGGTCCAGCCCGGGCCGCTACTAGAACTAATGTCGCAGCTTCGGTGTACAGTACATAGCAGAACCGAGGCTCATTGGTCCGGCCCGGGCCGCGCTACTAGAACTAATGTCGA